ACTAACAACAGTTTTCTTCCCTTCTGGCAACTTTTCTCACACACAAGCTCTTAATCAGGCTCAGTCACTCACATTGGAGCTGTTGTGTTGCTGCGTGACGCACGGCTCCTCCCTTCTCTGCTTTCCAAAGGTCTAACCTGTCACTGTGGTTAGCTTTGGACCCGTAGCAATGCACTAACATGGATATCTGCTAATTATTGCTAAGTAGTAACAGATCAATAAAACTCTAGACAGTCAGAAACATCTTGGATGGTCTGTAACTCACAGCAGGACATTATTATTATTATTATTTCATCAAAAATGCTTTGAGAGGCACAAAGACTACAAACATGGTGGAGAGGACCAGTTCAATGAGTGAGACAACAATCAGCTGCAGGTGCATGGCAATCAAAGTGGCCACACCCCCTAATGTTAACCTCACTAGATGGACACTGATAGATACTGCTATACAATTTTCACCCACTGAACAGTTCTTATGGTGGGGCACATTTTACATTACAGTGGGTTTCTGCTGTAACGTACATTTTAACATAGGAGACAATGGGGATTGACTCCCTTTTGGAGTTCGCCTCAGGCGTTTGTTAGAGGAAAGGCAGTTTCTGGGTATCTCAGTGTCAGCTTCATGTTTCAGCCCCGGAGGTTTTTACTCCTACTCTGCCCTCCACCTGGACTTACAGGTGTTTCTTCAGTTTGTGGGTCAACTTATAGCTGTGACATTTGTTCATACTGGTGTAATCAATGCTTTTTTCACTCATATTGGCAGTAGCCAATTAGTAAAGTGAAGTATATAAAATATTTTCTTTAATAGACCCTGTGCACGAGAAAATGCTAACTTCCAGTTTTACGACCGGATGTAGGGTTGTACATTTCCGGTAGCTTTATTTTGCAGTCAATCGCTACTGCGAAGATGGACTCCAGAATCATGTCCAAAACACGAAAACGGAAAGATCGCGTTAAGTTACAAAGAGCAGAGGTGGGAACACTCACCACTGCTGTGGCATAAAAAAAATCAAATGGTCAATTTTGACGTTTGAAGCGTTTAGATCGATCGGTTGTTTACGTCACTCAACACAAGCAGAAGTGCATCACTGCAGCAGAAGACACATCGTCCACACTCAGAAGCACATCTCTGTATAGTGACTGGTCTTATGATTTAAACAGGCAAATGTTCAGTATTCAGACTACAGGTGAAGAATAGTCAAATGTTTCCCCCGTTATGTTGATATCAGCTCGTCAAGTACACACCTACACAGCATGTTAACAAACCGTGAAAAAAGCCACAAAAATAAATGAATCATAGCTGGTAAGGATTTCTATGCATTAGTGTTTACGAAGGGTATGTTGTGACTTACCTTCAAAATTACAGCGGTCCCTCGCTATAACGCGGTTCATCTTTTGCAGCTGCGCTGTTTCGCGGATTTTCTTAGTGCAAGTTTGCATGCGTCATTGTGTTCTGCATCCTGATTGGCTGCAGAACACTGTCGATCTCCTCCGTGCCGTCTCTCCTGTACAGTACAGAATCGCTACATCGATCGCTGATTCATTGATTCATTGATGTTGAATTATCTCGCAGCTGCTCTATTCTCATGTTCTGGACCTGAAAACAGGGTTTGATCTTTGGTTTTATTCTATAATACTGGACTTATGTTGCTACAAAGGTTTGAACTTTGAGAGTTTAAACAAGAGAGAAATGTGTGTGTATAAAGTGTGTAGTGAGGGGTTTTTACAGTCTTAAAACATCTATACTAATTGTTAAAAATAAAGTCGGCTACTTTGCGGATTTCACCCATCGCTGGTTATTTTTAGAACATAACACCCATAATAAACGAGGGACCGCTGTACACAAATACTGAGAAATATAACATTTGAATCCTTTTTCTCTTTTGCTCTGAGGGGCGTGGGAAAAATATCGACAAGTCGACGAACATCATCTACAGATATATTCGGTAAATGCCCGAGACATCTCGAGAAATGTAAATCAGCGCTTGATTCATGCGTTTGGTTGACTTGTTTTAGAAAAACCGACCGTAAACAAGGAGCGAAAATCACACCGGAAACGAAGCGCTCTACAGGAGTTTCCCCACCGGAAGTAGCATGTGCTGAGGCGCACACACTGTGGAGCCACTGGAGATACTGTGAACCAGTGAAATGTATTTTAATTTAACTGTGGTCGGTGTCGTGACAGCCCTAACAAAAGATTCCTTTAGTTTAAGTCTTTGTTTAGCAAGCAGAATACAGGGAAGCATTAGTTCCTGTGTTTGCTGAGGCTGGGATGTCTACGTGAAGGTGAGTCAGCCTACGTTTCTGTTTGGATTATTTGTTCTGAACTTCCTAAATCCACAGACAAATCCTCCCCAGGATTATCAAAAGAACATTCACAAAAACACTGAAAACTAAAGATGAGATTAAAATATATAAACTGAAACCAGGAAACATATTCTGGAAGCTGACTCAGAATAAACTGACCTGAAAACAGAACTGCACAGACCTGTTCACACCTGTACAAACAGCGCAGGTGACTGTGGGTTTGTCTTTGCAGAGGCGAGCAGCAGGTAAACAGCTGGGTGTATCTGATCCATCAGTGGGTGCAGTGAGCTCTGCTGATGATGGCGGAGAGAAGAACAAGAAAGCGAAGAAGCAGAAGAAGAGTGACAGCAGGTGTGTTTTTAAAATGGCAGAGGGTTCGCTCGCCTGTCTGGCTGCTCCGGGCCTTCAGGGTCGAGCTCAGGATGAACTTCTCGTGTGTTTCTGTCCTCAGGTCTCCGTCGGTCAACAGGGACTTTTTCCTCAGACTTTCCCGGCTGCTGAAGCTCTTGTTTCCACGGTTACTTTGTCCAGAGATCGCCCTGCTCGCCTTACACTCTCTCACCCTGATGTCCCGGACCTTCCTGTCGATTTACGTCGCGTCTCTGGACGGTCTGTCTCCTTGTTTGTCTATAAAGTCATTAGTTATCCATCGCTATTATTGATCATATTTTTAGTATCAATGGTGATGTAGTTAGTTTGGCATCATCGCTAATCAGCAGTATTGATCTGCTGTGTGTGTCAGGTGTGATAGTGCGGTGTATTGTTCAGAAGGATCCTCAGGCCTTCGTGCTTCAGCTCTCCAAGTGGCTCCTCGTTGCAGTTCCTGCAACTTTCATAAACAGCGCCATCAGATTCCTGGAGGGTCAGCTGAGCCTCAGCTTCAGGACCCGATTGGTTAAACATTCCTACCAGCTGTATTTCACCAATCAGGTAACACAAACACACACAAATAAACAGCTTCGACAGGTGTGTTATCAGGACTAATGTCTGATTTTTACACTTCACTGGTTCAAGCACAGATGGACGGGGACAGTCTCGAGAGACCTCGAGCCTAAAAACTGGTACTGAATGACTGATCACCTCCATCAGGCTGTCACACAGCATTTCATTAAACCAGAAACGAAATCACTGAAGCACAAGTCCATCATAAATCCATCACTGAAACCACAAATAGAAGTTTACAAACAAAAAACACAGACAGATCTAGAGCTCAGTTAAGATGAAGTGAAGTGGAGACGTGGAATCATGAACTCCGCATCCTCTGAGCTAAAAATGGGCGTTCAGTTTGATATCAGTTAGAGTGCATGGGTAAGTTGGTGGTCTGTAAAAGCACTATTAAAGCTGAGTGATATGTGAAGATTATAAGGCAGCATGTGCTACCATCCAAACCTCCTTTTTGTATTTTTTCAGGCGAGACAATACCAATACGTATTCTGCACATATCCCATTAGCATGGCTCCATAAACGAGTCTGTACCTTTGAGAACTGGGAGAAAACTGAGCTGCTGAGCAGCTGCAAACACGTAGCATTAAGCAGGATCGGGGAAACATTTGGCTTTGGAACAACAGCAGCTGGACTCCTCGGTTCCCAAACACTTAATGAGTGTTGTTAAAAGCAGACGCAGTGAGAAACCTTCCCCTGCTGCTAACATCAAAGAAAAAAAAGAAAGAAATGGAAGTATTTCTCCTGTTTCAGGATCTGGGATTTTGTGTTTGTGCTACTTTTAATTAAATGTGACTTAGATTTTCTGCAAATCTTCACATTTTCTGTGGAACTAGTTTGTGAACTGAACAGCTGTCAGGCACATGTTTCACACCTTTCTGCTGCCAAGTTCATGAACAAGACAGTCCGCAGAGCCCAGCAGGCCACGATTTCCTTACTTGGACAGCAGGGAGAAGCTCTATTTATGTTACCCTTAAGGAAGGTTAGCAGGGACAGCTGCAGCGCTGCCTCACTGAACAGTTGGTGGCTCAACTAGGTACTGCAGCAAATCTCCAGAACGTTTTCTGACAGTGAATGTCATTTATCTTCCGCATTATCCGTTATCAATCAGTTACAAGCTAATCTTTGACCCATTATTATAGTTGCATGTGTCCCACTTGAGGATGATCTTTGTGGCCTTTTTGTTATCTTTTGTTATCTCATCCACTGAGTGTTCTGAAGTTTGTATGTTCTGATCATTAGTCTGATGCTTATTTTTGACCTATTTATACTCTGATTGGTGAACTTGTTGATCTCTGCAGACTTACTACAGAGTCAGCAACATGGACGGGCGTCTGTCCAATCCCGATCAGTCCCTCACTGAGGACATCGTCATGTTTTCGGCCTCCATCGCTCACCTCTACTCCAACCTGACCAAACCCATCCTGGACGTGATCGTCACCTGCTACACGCTGATACGCACCGCCCACTCCAAAGGTTGCTTATGTTAGCGCCAAATGATTTCACGCATGATGTGAACACATTGGTGTGCTGCTTGTAATTAATGCTTATTTTTGACTGAGGCTGAGGTTGTTCTAACAGCGTGTCTGCGCTACATGTTTCTGCAGGAGCAAACACAACGTGGCCGTCGGTCATCGCCGGCCTGGTCGTAGCACTCACGGCTAAAGTCCTGCGCTCCTGTTCGCCTCGATTCGGGAAGCTTGTGGCCGAGGAGGCGAAGAGGAAAGGAGACTTGCGTTACATGCACTCACGAATCATCACCAACTCAGAGGAGATTGCCTTCTATGGAGGACACAAGGTAAGAAAAACACCGATGTTTTAAGAAGTGATCAGTTTGAATGACAGGTAGGTTACTGTTAAACTTTGTGGATGGAGATCGCCATGTCTGTGATGGTCATGCGAGTTTGGGTGTGTTTGATTTGTAGGTGGAGCTGGCCCAGCTGCGGAGGAGCTACACGTCTCTGTCCTCTCAGATCCATCAGATCCTGCTGAAGCGCCTCTGGTACATCATGCTGGAACAGTTCCTCATGAAGTACGTGTGGAGCGCCTCCGGCCTGGTGATGGTCGCCGTGCCCATCATCACCGCCACCGGATACGCTGAACACGGTAAACACACTCCTGTTATCGGTGTACAGTATCACAGCGAGTCTGGTGCGAGTATGGCGTTCAGCTGCTTCACCTTTGACCTGTGATGTGCTCAGACTCGGAGGAGGTGAAGCAGGCTGCCATGGTGATGAAGGAGGAGGAGCTTGTGAGTGAACGGACGCAGGCCTTCACCACAGCCAGGAACCTCCTGAACGCTGCAGCCGACGCCGTGGAGAGAATCATGAGCTCCTACAAGGAGGTATGCACGCCATGCTTCCTCCTCTTTTTCACCTCCTCTGATTCTCTGGCTGATGGTTAACAGAGGAGTATTTGAAGAAGGCAGCTGCTGGAGGGAGACTATCACTTCTTTTCTTCTGCTCGTCTTCCTCCAGTCTTCACCTTGTGTTTCCTCCCTTTCTCCTTCATGCCATGTTGATGTTTAAATGATGCACACTGACGACTGACTGCTGTGCAGGTGACGGAGCTGGCAGGTTACACTGCTCGAGTCTCTGAGATGTTGGATGTGTTTGAAGATGTGAATCAGGGGATCTACCGCCGCTCCGCAGACAGAGAGAAGGAGGAGTTAACAGCTGATGGAGGAGGAGGAGCAGTTCAACACGGGCAGAGAGTCTGTGGTCCGCTACAGATCAGAGGTGAGTCTTGTATCATGTAACACCTCTGCAGCACTTTACTCCCAAACTCTCAGCTGGGTTATCTTTGGCCCGGTGTCATTTGTCGCTTCAGTCACTAAAGGGCAAAACCCCGCCCACACACAAACTCCAAACAGGAAGTTGAGACAGCTGTTTTGTCTGTTGTGTTGTGTACAGGTCAGGTGATCAGTGTGGAAAAGGGGATTCGCTGTGAGAACCTGCCAATCATCACGCCTACCGGAGATGTAGTAGTGTCCTGTCTGAATATCCAGGTAACACACACACACACACACACACACACTTATCCAGGTGACTTCAGGGTTATCCCTGACATTTTGTTACTATGAAGGTGGTTCACTTCTTAGTGGGGTACATCGCCATGGTAACCTATCCTGCGAACCTGTTTTATCTTGTTTTGTTTTTCAACCTTTTGTGTTCAAACAATTTTACAATAATGTTGTTGTTCTGTAAGCATAACCAAACAAATTAAGACACTTATTTGTACTTGAGGCCTTCATATCGACTGCAGGTAGACGAAGCCAAGGCTAAAATGTATTAATACAGTAGCTCCAGACTGCCAGCGTTAGCATGAGTGAGTCCAAATAATGCAGATATCCTGGGTATGTTGAACTTTCTTTGTAGCAGAGGACGTTGCTGTGGGCTTTTCCTTTTATTTATTTTTAATTTAATGTCTGTTACGATCCGAACCATGAATCCTCAGTGTGGTCAGTGTGGCCTCAGTGTGCAGCTAACATTTGTGGCCACATGGTGGCACTGCTGCAGTCCAGTCCTTATTTGGATTAAGCACAAAACCATCACAGATTTAAAGGAAGTCAACTGTACGTGCTCGCTTTACAGACACACAAATGTATTTTTACTTTCTGCACATAATAATAATAATAATAATGATAATAATGATAATAGTAATACTACTACTAATGATAATAATTTCTTGGCACATTTCAAAGCCCTTAAAAACAATGTCACCTTACAACACAAAACTAACAAGAACAGTAATAAAAAGGATTTGAAATCCTGGAATAATATGATTGTGAATGATATGAAACTAGATGGCTGTAGTTGATATGCTGATGAAAACAGATCGATTCTGCGCTGTGATATGTCCGAGAGTCTGTCTAACGAAGGTGAAGTGTTGATAGGTTTCAAAGATGAGGTGCGGCACAGCTAAAGTCCTCCGGCACACTTGGTGTTAAGTCTGAAGTGAGGAGCAGTCAGGAGAAGCTGAGCACAGAGAAGGGGTGTAATGATGGACGTCTGACAGATATGGGAGTGACGAGCCGCACTGAATATGCTTCTTCCTAGCTCTTCTCTTACAGATGGGACGAGAAGAAACAGTTATATAATCAGTTTTCTCAGTATAGTCAAAACATAATTGAGCAAAAATGAAAAAGAATAAGCAACAAACACGGCATTCATCTAATTCTGTGTAAACATATTTGTACTCGTAACTTTCAGTCTGGCTGATCCGCCGATGCTTTCTTGATTAAGTGTTTTTCCTCTGAAGCATCCCCTGCAGCCTCCGTGTTTAACGCCACAGCGCTGTGAACTGTGGGTAATTTCCCTCAGGCAAAGTCTGCAGCAATTACAGAAAAGAATGAATAAAGGGCTCAAAATTTCTACCAAACATCCCTCCTGCAGCCTGTTTGACACTGGGCGTCAGACACCGAACCCTCGCTGCCTTTGCGGGAGCAAGCCTCAAAGACTGTGAGTCTGTGGACATTGGGATTGGGCTCATTCTTTCCATATGCGCCTGGGGTCAGAGGTCATCGCTCATTAGCATGTGCCGAAACAGTGAGAGAGTGTGTTACTTTGTGTGTTTGTGCGTGCTCGCGGCATAGAATGAGGTTCCTGTGTTCAGTACGAGAGGATGAGAGAAGAAGAAGCAGCAGAGATGGAAACATAGAGGGGAAGAAGAGGAACATTGATGGACACAGAAACTCCTCTCTGTTGTCTGGTTCTTAACCTTTGACCTCTCTGCTCTCACAGCATGTGCTTTGATTGGTCTCTTCTTTCAGTGTGTTGTTGCGAGTAGGGACCTCCGAGATTCAGTCACATGTTTACAGGCACCACGGGGGCCTGCTCAGGGAACGAATTCAGCATCAGCAAGCTTAGGATAGATTTGAGCTTTTTTTGGCTTAGTTAAACCCAACAAACACAACCACACTAAGCTAAGGACAGACGTAGCATGAAACAGCAGCGAACTAAACAAATGTGAGGGATTTAAAAATATAATCTAGGCTAAAAGAAAGACAGCTGCTGTAGCCAGAGCCAAGAATTAAAGCTGGTAAAAGATCCGGACTGTATGGTTAATAATGCAGTATGTATTTGCCTCAGGTGGGTCCTTGGGTATTTTTACTGAACTGAAATAAACTTTACATGTTTGTAGATTTGTATTTTATATTAACAATCTAAACTACCACAATAATACTTAACCAAAGCTTAAACATTTACGCTGTGGAGCAGAAGCAGAACAAAAGCACGACATCGAATTGCAAAGTTATCAGAATTGTGCTTCAGTGCAATGCTGGAATAAACATAATTACATGTTTTGAAGTGTCAGGAGGCTACTGCACACCCTTGCTTTAGACGCACCCGTGCCGTCTGCAGGTTTGCAGAAGGAAGGTGGGTGGGGGGGTGGTTCTCGTACAAGCTTACGAGAATCTGCCAAATTTGAAGATAATAGCAAACCAAGCTCGCATGCTTCTCATATTAGGCAAAAGCTTGTTGTACAGGTGGTTTGTACACCTGGTGTTTGTACCCACAAAGGCTTTGATTGCAGTTACAGTAATGGCCATAATTGTTGTCAACAAAGGATTATCTTCACAGTGCCGACTCTTTGTTGTCTGCTGCCCGCGTTTCACCAAGTGAGAAGAGAAGCTACAGCTTCTCTCTTAATTATACACACGAGGACACGTTATCAGCCTTCATGTGGGGAACAGATCGAGATCACACGGGATACATTTTGTAATACTTTTTATTTTAATAGGTGGGGGTTGGGCACTACGATAAAACACAGTCGGTGAAAAAAAACAGGTTTCTTTGCAGGTGTCTGTGGTACTTTCAGCCGTAGCTCAACACTACATAAATAAGGAGTCTGTGCTGTTGAGTAGTTGTGCTGTAGGAAGTAATTAGTTGGGTAGTTAATCAGTAAAAACAAAGAAAAAATTCTGACTTTTAAAACACCGCCTCATCTTTAAGACAAGGTCGATCCGACTGTATTTACCACCACAGCCTGCTAAATGAATCTGTTGCTGTTGCTAACAGGCTTATTAGCCGTAGCCTCGTTCTTTCAGCTGCAGCCTGGTGGTGTTAAACAGTGTGGAGAACAAGTAAAGAACAAATAATAACTGAATACAAGCCAGTGAGAAGGATTATTTGCAAGTTTAGTGCCAACAAGTGCGAGGTTTTAGTGCTTTAATTAGTATGTGGAGTACACAGCTACAGAAAACAATGAGAACTTGTATTTTCCATTCATGCTCAACAGCCTTTAGATGCGCTCTGCATCTGTTGAGCTGTTTTCTCAGAGCAGGTCAAGTCCAAACCATGTTTTCATGGCTTTGCAGGCCTGGCTTGCCTCAGTAAACCCCTTTGTCATATTTAAAACCCAGGTGTAATCTCACATCTTTAACTCCTAAATCATGCTTTGCAGTACAGGCGTCTGTGCACATATGTTCTGTAAAGACTTGGAGACACCTTTCCAGAAACGAGTCCAATCCTGTGGATTTGTCTCTCTGTGTGTCTCAGGTGGACGATGGGATGAACGTGCTGATCACCGGTCCAAACGGCTGTGGGAAGAGTTCCCTGTTCAGGATCCTCAGTGGGCTGTGGCCTGTTTATGGAGGAGTCCTGTACAGACCGGAGCCAGAGCACATGTTCTATATCCCACAGAGGTAAGACTACTACTACTACTAGTACCAAATTCAGTTCAGCACTTTATATTTATATGGTTCCAATTACCACCAACAACCATTTGTCGGTGTTTTACAAAGTTAAGGCCCTAGATCCACAGCAGTTGTGGTTTCCTGTTCTGTGTGGTTTGCAGGCCTTACATGTCAGAGGGGACCCTCAGAGACCAGGTGATCTATCCGGACTCAGTGGAGGAGATGGTTCAGAGAGGACTCACAGATTCAGACCTGGAGGAGATCCTTCGCACCGTCCACCTGCGCTACATCATGGACCGAGAGGGAGGTCAGTCCGAGTGCGTGTTTAGCTGTGCTCTGCGCTTTGTTTGGAGTAAACAGGCAGAAAAACCTCCACAGCAACTCAGACTCAACTACACAAACAAACATAGAAGACGGGAAACTCATGAGGCAGATTGTGCGGCGGTGATTGAACCAAGAATTAATTATGAGGAGTCATTTCACATCTAATGGTGCCTCGACCTCATTTCACTTCATATGACACTTAATTTTGAGAACTGCTCCATCACAAACATTCAAACCGGTTCGAATGCTCAAATCAAATTCTGCTAAATATTTAATCAGTGCCCCGTCCCCAGCCTGCCGTGATGGGTGCTCGACTGTTTGACTGACACTTGCAGTCAGTTTGAGAGCTCGCAGCAGCTGCAGGATGATGCCAGGATGTGTCAGGGGGCAGGATTCAGGAAAGACTGGCTCACCTGTCAGCAGTATTAAACATGAAAATACAGAGAGAGCTTTTCACTTCACCTGAATCAAGTTAATGAATGAACATATCTATCATTAGTTGCAAAAAAAAAGTGTAGAAAAACGTATAAAATGATGTCTTAGAGAGTGGGAATCAATCAGTAAACATGTAAATACTGAATTAGTAGTGTTACACGTACACTTGAGCCACATCATGTGTACATCAGCGCTACCAGAAGACTGTGGGGGGGAAATTTTACACATTTTCCTTTTGGGCTCGGATTCATAAAGCGTCAGTCTGCAGGTGCATGGACACACGCAATTGTAAATGTCGTTTAACTGGGATCATCTGTAGCTGTTGTTAATGCAGTGCTGCTGTGGCGACACCTGTGTATGTGCTTCTCAGGTTGGGAGTCGGTCAATGACTGGAAAGATGTTCTGTCTGGAGGAGAGAAGCAGCGGATGGGGATGGCTCGGATGTTCTACCACCGGTAAGGTCTCACTCTTCAATGAGTGAAGGATGCTCACAGCATCTGGCTGTGCTCGGGCTGGACTTTGGACAGAGACGTCATGAAAGAGCGATGAGGTGCTCAAAGAGTTCTGAACAGAAATCTGAAGGAAGCGTTTTTAATGGTAAAGGTGGTGGTAAACCTGCCCTCTGCCTCCACAGAGCCAGCCAACAGCTGAACCGAGAAACATGCTAACTGAGGTGGTGTTGCAGTAGAGGTTTGCTGCTGTGTAGTAGCTGTATTATAGGTGGTATGTAGGTGAGTGTAGGCTCGCTTTGTCCATAATGTAAACTGTTGTGTTTCTTGGCTCAGGGTGGGAGGATCTGAGACGTTGCTCGTGTTGGTGCTTTGAACTGAGCCCCGTTAGAAACTGTAATGTGTTAACTTTGCATATGAAATCAGATTTGACTCATGATGATTCTGTATGTTTCAACGGCATTAACGTTAACGGCTCTCTCCCTATTCAGTTAGATAGCTGCTTTAAAATAACCACCCCAGTAACGCCCACATTTCGAGCAGACTCTGAACGCTGGGCGTGCTCGTGTTGAGCTTCAGCGTAGCTCTCACTATTGGCCTCAGTATTAGCATTATGGCCTATTCATTATCAGGTCATTCATTATCATTTAAGTGAGTTAAATCGGCACCCCCATGACCTGTTTAGGACTGTGACCGCTGCCGTGTTTATTTTACACACCTCAGCACTGTTAAACCAACATGTTTCCGTTTTCCATCAGTGAAACGTCCCTGCAGCTGGTTCAGATGCAGTCAGCGCAGGCGTCAGGCCTGCTTCTGTTTATTCTGTCAGATTATGCTCCGCTATTAAAATAATGGTTTCATCTGCTGCCACCTTTATGATGACTAACATACTGTAAGTGGCCTGTTTATGAGCCGTGAACAGATTTCGCACCAGTTCAGACAGCTGACGACTTCTTGTGTTTATTTTTTCCCAGGGAAGAATAACAAATATTAAAGGACAGTTTAGCCCCAAATCTGTACAAATTCTGCAGTGAAAGGTCAAGTTTCTGTATCACAGCAGAGCAAGTGTCTGTCTATCCAAGCTGAGACAGCGTGACACATGAAACGTCTGCGTGTTGTGTTGCTGAGATATAAACTGAAGTTTAAATGGGACTGTACTTTAGCGTACAGGTAAATGTGTGTTTACGTCTGTAGAGAATTCATGTTATTTTCATGCCGACATATTTTGGTGGCTAGAAAAACTCAGAACGTAGAAATAATAGAAGCTGCCTTTTGAGAAAGCCGTTTTAGAAGCATGCAAATGTCACAGATGCTCAGCGTGACAGTGACTCTGTGTGCGCCCACCATAGTCACCCTGTCTTCTCTCGCTCTTTTCCTCTCTTTGTGTTTGTGAATGTCTCTCGCCCAGCCCAAGGTACGCTCTGCTGGACGAGTGTACGAGCGCCGTGAGCATCGACGTGGAGGGAGGAATCTTCCAGGCTGCGAAGGATGCTGGGATCGCACTGCTGTCAATTACTCACAGGCCTTCCCTTTGGTCAGTACACACACAAACACACACACTGAATCTCAGTGACCTTGACCTCAAGGTCAGAGGTCAAGTTTTCCGAATATCTTGAAGGAGGAACGGTTTTGAAATTGTAATCTGCTAGGAGGCTGAGGGGTACTGCTGCTAGTACTAAAAGTACAAAGGTGTCATTGGTCATGTGGGAAGCTTCCAGCATCATGTGAGTCCAAAGACAACAGTTACACTGTGAGTGCTCATGAAAAAGAGGGCGACTCTTAAAATGTGGCTGGATGTTTTTTGTTGCAGTCTGAAAATGATCATATCTGTGACTGCTCTTTGAGAGTGTGTTATAACTGAGACGTCACCTATTACACGTTTATTTGAATTTTGTGGATTATTTCTCATGTCTTGCATTCAAGACGCAAAAAAAACAAGCATGGTGGCAAAATGAAAGCGCGGTATTCTAAAAGATCAGATGCCAGCTGAGTCTGTCATCTCTGCTGCTTCTGTGTCATCAGGTTAACTTTTGTGGGTTAAATTTGCACAATTTCTAAACAACAATGACATTCAAACACTTTTCAAGGTGATGTTTCCTGACTTGGAACATGTAAATGCTTTCATTTAATATTTTTTTGTCTTTATGTCTTTACAGAGTCTTTAAATGTCATAAATAAAGTTTTACACAGTGTGTAGCAAAACTGAAATCCACAGACTAGTGAAACTCGAGATGCCAAAACTGCAGATAAAACTACGTGACTCATGTGACTCAAAGATCAGGAGTGAACTCAGGTTTTATTTAATTTTATTTTCAGCCTGCAGGGGGCAGCATAGCTCTGAGCTGCTGCCGGCTGCCACACCCTCCAACTAATCTTCTCCTCCTCTGTCTCACAGGAAGTACCACTCTCACCTGCTGCAGTTCGATGGAGAAGGAGGGTGGAGGTTTGAACCTCTGGATGCCTCCACGCGCCTCTCTCTGCAGGTCTGTGTGTGTTTAATTCGAGCTCTATGATTGGTCCCCGGCAGCAGGTGTTTTATTTGAGCGTGTGCTGCTGTGAGACCGTGTCATGTTAGAAACAAAAAAGATGTGCGCAGTTTGTTTGGAGGGTCCAGCCCCCAGGTGGCTCTTGTTCAGGTCTGTTTGTAAGATTTATACTTAAACTTAGCTGTAAGACATAAAAACTCGTCTTAAATGTGCTTATTATTGATCCATAAGCATTAAAACAGCTTAAAGTGAATGCAGCTGTCTCTGATTTCCCTTCAGCAATACAGCGCAGATCAGGATTTAGTCAGGAATGGCTGTGGAACAAAAGAGAAAAGCATCTCAAAGTGCTGTCATCAGTCTCTTGCAAAAATGCCAGAAAAGCTGTGATTACTTCTTTCTAATGCGACGCCGCATTATGCTTTTACTTCAGCACACCTGCATGTGGAAAATAACTTGTCAGATCTTTAATTTATGCTGGATTACCACGCTTGGACTCTAGAGCTACACAGATAACATTGCTGCACATTTAGGCTGGATGACGACACGGCGACATGCCAAGAGTGCTTTTATTAAAAGAGTGATCAATATGAAATGCACACATATGATTTGATATGATAGTGCACATTAAAAAAACAGTTGGTTTCAGCCAACAATGAAGCCATTAAACTCCACTGAGCTGTTAGTTATTTGTGTTCATTTGGATAAAAACTAAAGTGTTAAAACTGAAACGTCTCAGAGTATGAACAGCAGCTCTCATCTTCTGTTAGCTAAAAAGCAGAATTTAGAGTTTGTCGATTGTTGCCACACACACAGTTTTGATATTTAACGTGTGTGTTCAAACTTTGGGCTTGTTGGTGTTGCTGTGAGAGTGGAGTGGATGGGAGGGGACGACAATCAGTGTTCAGCAGAGACAAAACGTATAACACGAAGAGTCTGGAAGATAACAGTGGGTGACGAGATCAAAGGCTAAAACATACACAGGTACAACAAAGGTGATCAAACGCACCACGGAGTCGCCCACTGCCTTCTGCTTACCGGGATTAAACAGCGAGTCGGTCTCAATATTCTTCATCATTCGGCCGGTGCTGCATCTCCCTCCGTGATGAAGGAGACCTTTGAGTCCGAGCCCGAGGCGTACAATGTAAAACATTCAGCAAAAAATTTAACATTAAAATTATTTGGTCATATTCCACGTGTCCTTTGAGAAGCTCTATAGGAGGCGTAGTATCCCAAACTTCACCAGCAGGAAAATCACTTTGCATAGAGTCAAGATTATGTCAAAGTAACTTTATAAATAGCTGTTCATACATATAAAAGTCATCTCGAGTGACCCCTGTAATCCCAGCTCCCCGCTCTGTATGTAAATCGGAGTCGGTTGTGTTTGCAGAGGCCAGAGGACCGCACAGGTTCAGGTTTGGAAACCCACATTTATCTGCAACCACAGAGCTCAAAACACAGAGGCTACACGGTCACTTCATCTTTACTCATAACTGGACGTTTTATTTTATTAGCCATTTGCAAGCTGAATTCTAATAACAGCTCACTGCTTAATACATACAGAACAGCAAGGCTGCTCTGCTCAATGGGTCATGAATTCCTTTAATTAAACTGAATCTCAGAGGTATCTTTGACTTATTTTTACATTGAGATCACTTATTGCAGCTTTATGGGCTCATTGGACTCTAACAGCTTCTCTTAATGTGACAGAAAGTGGAGAAACATGAAGGATCATGATCAGTGATGCCCCGTTGTTAGACAGTTTCCTCTTATACGTGGGATCTAAACGGTTCTCCCTTCGTTATGCAGGGTTAACAGAGGTCATTATCATTTGCAGACTTTAAGCTTTTACACAGTTCAGACGTTTCTGCATATTTTGTTGATGACCTCAGTTCATTTTGGGAAGTTTTTTACTGCTTTTAAAGACAGAAATGTACCAAAAGCATCTCCAAGTTTGGCAGAAAGATCTCTAAAACCTGCCACGTGTCCAACATCATGTGGATGACTTGTTTCTGAAAGACTGCGTCTTGTTATCGGGGGTCAGAGTGCACGGTGGCTTTGCAAACTCCTCGGCAGAGTTTCATTGAAATGCTTCCCCTCCTCTCAGTTTCGTGGTCACATGATGGGATTTGTTAGGTGAAAGGTTGAGTTGATGGCTTTCACAATAAAAAGAAAAACTAGGCCTGATGATAGCTTTATAGAAATTTATACGGTTCAGATTTTTAGAATATAATTATTTCGCACAGGGGAGGGGCTTTGGTGCGATACTTAGGGCTGTCACTGGAACACCCACACACAGCTCAATACCGCGCGAACAGAAAGCTAAACTCTTTGCAGGAGTTAAACAAGCTCAGCGTCCTGACTGTGAGCCGTTAGCAGCTGCTGGATCAGTTCTGTCAGTGCGTTTCTGTTTCGTACCCGCAGGACGACCCCCCGGCGTCACTTACGGGGGTTCAGCATCTGTAACTCCGTGAAAGCGATGTTCACATCCTGCTGTGATCATCCCGCTGCGCCGAGGAGAGAGAGCGGAGCTGATCACTGAACCCTCCTGACTCGTAAACACGCTAAAATTACCGCGACCCCTCTGACTGCTGCCTTTGCGCATGCAGCGGTTACTGTGGTAACCATCAGCACCACAACAACACGCCTGCGGCACATGATGTGTGAGCGAGTGAGGTCAAAGCGCGGAAGCGGCGAGGAGAGTGAGAGCAGCCAGTCAGCTGGCTCCTCGCTGTCATGTGACGGATCATTAGTGGCTGCAGGGCTGCTGCAGTTTATCATTAGCCTCCAGATTTGAAGGTAGAGTTTATTAATCCAGAGCATGAAGTGCTTATTAACCTGCTCGGCTTCACCTGAAACAGTGAAAACAGGTTTGAGCAGAAGCTGCTGTGGGAAGAACACACAGATCTACTCTGCGGGAAGTCTAACAGACTTCATCTCCTCAGGGGTCGATCCCAACACCTCAGCAGTGATCATGATGCTCAGCCTGCAGCTTCACAGAGAAAACTATAATAAGGACAATCAGACAAAGATACATATATTTAACACACAAACACAGCAGCAGGATTCAAGCACATCATCGCACACTTAATCTGCGATTAAACACAGTATCTAATTATAGGATTGACTGGTGCACAAACGGGTCTCTTGTTCTTCAGTGCACGTTGGTGACTTTGTTTATTTTACCCTCACTTATGTGAGGAGCTCGGGTGAAGTACTGACTTCAGGTACTCAAGTCATTACCGCTTAGAGCGGCTAAAATATGCAAAAATATTGATATTAAGCACCAGCACATCAGCGGTCATATCACACGAGGATCCATGCAATGATTTAGCGTCGCGCGTCGTGTTTGCTGCCAAATACGAAAGGAAATAAAGGCTCGGCGTATACACATTACACTGATTGAACTGCAGAAATAACAAAAAAGCAATCTGTGTACTCGTCCCCACGGACGAAGGCGTTCCAGGATAACAGATGGCCTATCGTTACATCCTGGTATTTACGGGAAAATACCTGCTGGATAGTTGTATTATTGATACCAGGTGAAGGATCTGATACAGTCTCCTCTGGTGTGATTCTGGTAATTTCTGTAACACTATTACTTTCACTGCACTCACTAAAAAACGCTGTGTTAGTGTTCACGCCCGAGATACTCAGCAGCAGTAGCAGAGCTGTGTGATTAGAGTCCTTAAGAAGGTATCGATCATGCCTGAGCTGACCCTAAGCAGCCTGGTGAGGTCCCAGCCGGGTGTATTGATAAAGGCCCGAGGATGCAAACATTGTTAATGAACTCTTGTGTCAGACAAGTTTACTGTGAGCAAAGTGGAGGTAAAGATTGGACCACTTACCGTTTCACTCTGTGCATTATGCTACGTTCACAGAAGTCAATGTAATGTACGTGCCATTATTTACAATTTTATTTCTGCATTTTTTTCCTCCTGTTCTGGAAGAGAATGGATCAGCTCGAGGAGAGAAATCCAACCATGAGCTCGTGTTTTGGCTGTGAAAGTGTAGAGAGACACAGGCACACGAGAAACAAGTATAAACAACAGCGTGAGCTACATGTGTAGTCTAGAATAGATTAAACGCAGAACTATAAATCACACATCAGCTGGCTCCCAGCCACATAGACATGCGAGTGGCAGTACACATTTGTAGTAATGCTTCCTCGTGTTTCTTTGTTTTGATAAATTTAGTATTTAGTGAGTAACTATGACAGTCTTGAGCTTCTTCACAAGGCTCCATCGCATCATAACAGCGCTAAAAAGTTGTGGTATGTTAACAGGAAGTTGTGATGCATCAGCAGTGTCGAGTGTCAGGCTTCAGTTTGTAGCGTCATATTTTCGTCTTCCATTGACTTGCAGTCAGTTGTTTCTTTGCCTGTAGAGTAAACATTAATGACTATTGTTTAGCTGGGGTATCAACCAGGAACAGGCGGCCACATTAAGGAAGCAAACACGCAATAACCAAAGTTATTATAATTCTAGATGCTGTTTGTAGTAATGGTGGATAAAGCTGCTGAATCAGGAAACAGAGCTTTCAGGTACAAGTACAGACACCGGCGGATTTAAGAGTGACAGGAAGCTTAGAGAAAACAAACAAATGCAACACCTGTAACAGCAATATTCAGAGAAAAGTAAACATAATATATTCATTGTATTTCTATGTGTCTGTGTTTGTGGTTTCTGTGATGTGCTGTGTCTCAGGAGGAGAAGCATCGTTTGGAGAACCAGCTGCTGGGAATTCCTAAGATGCAGCAGAGACTTTCAGAGCTGTGTGTCCTGTTGGGGGAGGCCGAAGGGGAGAAAGAAGAGAAGCTAGCCTCCTGAGATTACACACTGATGATTTTATTTACTGGTTAGCATTGAGAGAAACGCACACACACGTTTGTATTCCTTACTTGTAGGGCCCCGCGTTGACTTGATGTAACTCCTGTAATGTGCACTGGACACAAAGTCCCCAGAGAGCGGAAGTGACCGCACATGTTATAAATACCCTTAAAATGTACAAATGCCTTTGTAAAGCAGAATTATCCCCAAAGTGTCCTCAAAATGCAGAAATGTCCTCATAATTCACAAATGTCCTCACTGTGAAGATATGTCCTTACAATTCAGAAGTGTCCTCAAAGTAAAAAAAAAAAAAATCCTCAGAATTAAAAAGTAGCCTAATATTACCTCAAAATGTCGACGTCTCACCAGAGTTCAGAAATGTCCTCATAACACAGAGATGTAAATGCTCTGAGAAAGCACAAGTGCCCTCATGGTGTAGAAATCCCAGTATAGTTCAAAGTGTTCCAAAATCTCCTTGTAAGTCAGAACTGTCCTCATATTACAGAAATTCCATCACTGTGCATGAAAACCTTTTGCTATGCAGAAATGTCCTCATATTGCAGTGTGCCTGATGGATGGGCCACACAAAGATGGACAAACATGCGCGCGCACACACACACACACACACATGCTAAGCAGGTAAATCGTATGACTGAAGTGAGTTTTAACTGTGAGTTTGTTTGTTTTTAAATTTTATCTCGTGAGCACTGCCGGTTTGCTGTCAGAGCTGCTGTTTCTCAAAGACGCCCATGATCAGTTGGCCTGTTTTTTACGAAGCACTTCCTGTCCTGATTGGTTATCTCGCTTATTTTAAATGGCTCGTTTCTACTGTCACGTAACCTTGTTTACATACACTAGTTGGCTGGAATAAATAAGCACCTAGAGTTTTTATTCAATTCAGCTTTAGGGGCGATCGTGGCTCGAGAGTTGGGAGTTCGCCTTGTAATCCGAAGGTTGCCGGTTCGAGCCCCGGCTCCGACAGTCTCGATCATTGTGTCCTTGGGCAAGACACTTCACCCGTTGCCTACTGGTGGTGGTCAGAGGGCCCGGTGGCACCAGTGCAGCCTCGCCTCTGTCAGTGCGCCCCAGGGTGGCTATGGCTACAATGTAGCTGCCATCACCAGTGTGTGGATGACTGGATGTGTAAAGCGCTTTGGGGTCCTTAGGGACTAGTAAAGCGCTTGTACAAATACAGGCCATTTACCATTTATTTACAATAAGAAATCGCCACAGCAGTCACATTAGAGCGCTTTGCATTGTGAGGCTATGACAGGTTGGCTGTCAGCCTGAAGTGGTCCAGGTGAGGGGAGGGGAGGTTTTTTCTGCTGATAGCTCAAGTATTCTTGTATAGAAACAGCAGGTTTTTATACAACTTGATAAATGGTCTTGATCACCTGGTAGTCTGTGTTAGGAAAAATATGCTTTCCTCGACCAGTTTGCAAGTATGGTAGTTGTGTATTTGTGCTGCATTAAAAACTTAGTGATTGCTTTGGTCGCTGCCAGAGTGCTGCAGTTGCTGGTAGTTTGCATAGAAGATGCCGTTTTGTCTGCAAACACTCGTTAAACACTGAGGGGAGGTGAAATGCAACTCAGAGGCGGAGACCAATTTGCCTTCAAAGTAAAAGTTGTGCCTTATTGGTGAAACAAATGTTTCAAAATGTGCAACTTTTACTTTGAAGGTGGGCGGTCTCTGTTAGTGAGTGGTTGGTGAGTGTTTGCAGACAGGTTGCCATCTTCCATGCAAACTACATTCGTCTGTCGCAGTCTGCTAGTGACCAAAGAAATCTGAGAGGTTTTTGGTGCAGCACTGTATACTTTTTTTAAACCAGTTTCATTTAGATACTACAAGCAACCACTCGCCAAACAGTCTGGGCCAAGTAAGCTGCTTTTGTAAACAGACTTTTAATTTGAAAGGTGAGGATCAGTTTATCCACATATGCCACTGACCTTTTTTCCACCAACTGTGTGCTGGTCCTAACCCCCCCCCCCAAAAAAAAAAACAAAAAAAACCAACAACAACAGAAAAACAAACAGTACCAGTATAGCTCCAGTAAAATAAGAGTTCCACTGGGGAAACCACTGATGTCAGAGGCTGTGGGTGGGGCTACACTGGATAACGTCTGCCTTTTAAATCTGTGAAGTTTGTGCTGGTTCTCCAAAGACAGTAAAGCAAGGACCGTAAACACTGATCTGACAGCAGCCGTCAGCTGACTGAGAACAAAGAGAGGAGCAGCAGATTTGACAGAAAAGGATCAGCTGAGTCACATGACTGCTAAGCAGTCACGTGACAGCGGAGTCCGTTTATATATATTTTTAATTGTGATATTTAATCCTTTCCTGCGTGTACAAATAAACAGTATATTATATACACAATCAGTAATATAAACAGCAGCTTCACTGATCAACAACAGAATAATCTGCTGCTGCAGTTTGAATAAAGAAACTTTATTTAGAGAAATGTAAAGTACATGTTCCAGTGCAATCAGAATGAAGAAGAGGAGGGTGATGAAGATCCAATTATAACGATGCTGTGTGATGTCATGATGATGATGTCTGGATGTTTATTAAAAATAAATAAATAAAAAGTTTACTAATGCGTTTTGTTTGTTGTTGTTTTTTCCTCTGATCAGGTGACCAACAAACAGTATAATCAATTATTTCCTCTTAAGTGAGCAAAATATCGATTGATCGCTGAAGCTCAGCTAACACTGACCTTAACACCACAGCCTGTCTAATGTTACTGCAGACTTTTTCACAGTATTACAAACTAAGATTTGCATTTCCAGATGATCAAATAGAATTTGCTGAGCAGTCCTACCTGTGAAAATAATCTTCATCTTTCTTACAAATGTCTCCATGTCTGAGTCTGACGCACATTAACAAACGTTATTTTTCGCGCTGGCTACCTTCTGATTACCACGGGCGCAATGAAGTTACATCTGCACCTTGAACGCATCACAGGGACGAGGACTAGAAAAGGTGCTGAAGGTGTATCCTGTTCGTAGGATGTCATTAGTTTGTGATTACTGAGCGAGTATGTGCATGCCGTCGCTGGAAACGATGCCGGGCTTATTTAAAAGGAACTCATTCAACAGAAATACGCACTAACATGCCTGTGAGACTCAACTGCGTTCCGGACCTTTAACCCCTGCCAGCCCGTGGTTTAAAAGCGCTCCTACCTCTGCCCAGTTTCACCAGTTTAATCCCTGCTGGCTTTTCAAATTAAGAGTTTGGCTAATAAAACACGTACTCCACTGTGGTTTAGTAAACTGTACTGGTGGTTTACGGAGACTCTGGAAACCACACGACTCTTCAAATAGACGTCACAGGGGTACAAGATGTAGCATCATACGCGAGAATTTACTGTTAGGGATGCGTCTGTACTACACTAACTACACGTTTGCTCGTTAGTACTGCTATTAGAACAAAAGTATCTGGATACATCCTCATCCGCTAAAAACCCACATTGTAATACTAATAATAAGACTTTACTTGTTGAGTTATTTAGACGTGGATTTAATTGGGCCATCTTAAGTATCAGAGGTAAAAGTCGCCTATTTTATTCATATAAATAAAAAAATTTTTTTCTCATATTAAACCCACGCATGAAGTATTTCACTTTCAGAGGATCGATATTCTGACTGACACTGAGTGTTGACTGGACAGGTGGGATCGATAGCTTTTAATTATTAAAACCTCTGGATTTCTAAGCCAGGCTTCGCGGTGGGTTTTCGGCTGTGGACCTTGGAGCGCAGCGGGGCGGGGTCTCTGTCAAACCTGTTGTGCGTCTCTCCGCGCGGACTGTGCGGATCCGGGTGTCTGCTGGGGTCTTTTGGAAGTTTCTCGGGCTACTCGGACGCCGGGAGGACGGCACAGCAGCCTGGCGAGCTCAGGTGAGTCGGACCCGGACCTCATCGCCCCCCTTGTCACGGCTCTGAGTTGTCCCGCTGCTGTAGGAAGGAAAAGGCGTGAGAGTCAGGCGTGTCTGCCTGACACACGCCAGACTCCATTCGGGAATGTAGTAGTTTTAGATGTTGCCGGTTTTCCGTTAGGCTGTTTATCTGAGGGAGGCAGCTGCCGATGGCTTTAGAACCGGGAGGAGATGCTCTTTGACTCCGCTCAGAAACATTGATATTATGACCAGCACCAGGTTATGTTCCCCGGGTTTAATTTACAGAGCCGTAAATACAGAGCGGCTCAGACTCTGGACTGGGAGTTTCAAAGTGGACAATCCCGTCAGGGAGTCTGGCCGGCGGTCTGACTGAAGCCGGTTTAACAGCAGGAGTGATAAATGTGGTGCTGGGTTCAGTTTGTAAGTCTGCCTCCTCACTGAGTGCTTCTGTGTGTGTCCGTGTCGGCCGTTTCCAGCCTGTCCTGGCACGGCACGGCACGGCCGCAGCAGCCACTGAATAGCTGGCATTCCAACACACACAGACACACACACTCTCACACTCTGTGCTGCTGTTATGGCTGGAGCGAGTTTAGAAGTCACCTTTGCAGACTTGCATAAGGGAAGTGAGCATCAC